ATATTCAAGGTCACAAGGAGCAAATATGTTCAAAATATTTAAACAACTTGTTCTGAATAACCAAAAGGCTCAGGATGTTGATATTTAATCAGTAGCATGCTGGGATCAAGGACTACTATGTTTGTTAAAGTGAATGACTTTGACTTATATTCAAGGTCACAGGGGTCAAATTTGTAAAATCTTAAAACGACTTCTTCTGAATAACCATGGGTCCCAGGATGTTGATACTTTGCAAGTTGCATCCTGAGATAAAAGGCTATAAAATGTGTTCAACATAATGACTTTGTTCGACTTTCAATCACAGGGGTGAAATGTTTAAAAAAACAAAAATGGGACTTTTGAATGAATTTTAATCATAAATTCTGATATTTTGCCTGTAGCTTTATTTTAGATCACTTTTAAGGTTACAAGTGTGAGATTTATACCAGGTGAGCGATGCAGGCCCATTGGGCCTCTTGTAATTGTAACATTTTTGGGGTATAAATCCTGACCGACCTGCAATCGTTTATGCAGGCCTTGCAAGGCTTTGTCAAGGCTCGCCTGATAGCAGCATTAGATTACTAGGTCTGACCTTATTTCATAAACGAACAACTCTGGTTCAATCGGTTCAATCATTTGGATCGCAATAAACGAAAGCAGTCAAGGTGGCAGGCAGAGTTATTGCCCTTGGTACAACCTAATTATTACAATGTAGCTTTCCAACTAGTGCAGGATTTTCATTAAGTATTAATACAAAGCAACTGCTTTGTTGGGATGAGAACATGATAGTGTTTTAAGATAGAATGCTCCATAAGGGTTTGTTTGAGCAGATTTGACTGTATGAATCATCCATCTTATCAAGGAGTTAATCCAACACTCCAGTAAATCAATGGCAGTGTAAATAGCTTATCGTTGTATTTGTTTGATTTAATATTGGAAATTGCTTCAATTTTTGGATAAATACTTTCTCGCAATAATTAACATGGCGAGCGTATTGTAACAATCTGTTTCTGGCAAATGTTTATGAAAATGGAAAATAAGAATTTGAAGGGTATGTATATCTTTTTGTAATATTTTCTGATACACTGTTTTATTGTAACACTTGTTCTTTCTGTGTTTTTGTTGTGATATCATTTTATTTATCACTAAAAAAGAATAAAGACAGCTTACTAAGGTCAAAGGTCACACGTTCAGTGTTTTCTACCCTGAATCTTGTATTATGAATAAAGAAATATTCTGGTGTAATTCTTTGATTCCCAAAGGAGATGTTTGAGATATTGTATGATGTGTTTATACTTCCACAGGGAGATGTTTGAGGAGACCCCGGGACTGGTGGGGTGTGTACGTGGTATGGTTTACAACGGTGTTCATCATGATCTCACAAGCGAAACTGATCCCAGGTATGATAACTATTTACTTACCCACCATTTAATAACTTGTCTCTGACCCCAGATGTTATAACTAACCTTTGACATCAGGTTTGGTTACTATTTATTAACCTATCATATGATAACTTGTCTCTGACCCCAGATGTTATAACTAACCTTTGACATCAGGTTTGGTTACTATTTATTAACCTATCATATGATAACTTGTCTCTGACCCCAGATGTTATAACTAACCTTTGACATCAGGTTTGGTTACTATTTACTAACCTATCATATGATAACTTGTCTCTGACCCCAGATGTTATAACTAACCTTTGACATCAGGTTTGGTTACTATTTACTAACCTATCATATGATAACTTGTCTCTGACCCCAGATGTTATAACTAACCTTTGACATCAGGTTTGGTTACTATTTACTAACCTATCATATGATAACTTGTCTCTGACCCCAGATGTTATAACTAACCTTTGACATCAGGTTTGGTTACTATTTACTAACCTATCATATGATAACTTGTCTCTGACCCCAGATGTTATAACTAACCTTTGACATCAGGTTTGGTTACTATTTACTAACCTATCATATGATAACTTGTCTCTGACCCCAGATGTTATAACTAACCTTTGACATCAGGTTTGGTTACTATTTACTAACCTATCATATGATAACTTGTCTCTGACCCCAGATGTTATAACTAACCTTTGACATCAGGTTTGGTTACTATTTACTAACCTATCATATGATAACTTGTCTCTGACCCCAGATGTTATAACTAACCTTTGACATCAGGTTTGGTTACTATTTACTAACCTATCATATGATAACTTGTCTCTGACCCCAGATGTTATAACTAACCTTTGACATCAGGTTTGGTTACTATTTACTAACCTATCATATGATAACTTGTCTCTGACCCCAGATGTTATAACTAACCTTTGACATCAGGTTTGGTTACTATTTACTAACCTATCATATGATAACTTGTCTCTGACCCCAGATGTTATAACTAACCTTTGACATCAGGTTTGGTTACTATTTACTAACCTATCATATGATAACTTGTCTCTGACCCCAGATGTTATAACTAACCTTTGACATCAGGTTTGGTTACTATTTACTAACCTATCATATGATAACTTGTCTCTGACCCCAGATGTTATAACTAACCTTTGACATCAGGTTTGGTTACTATTTACTAACCTATCATATGATAACTTGTCTCTGACCCCAGATGTTATAACTAACCTTTGACATCAGGTTTGGTTACTATTTACTAACCTATCATATGATAACTTGTCTCTGACCCCAGATGTTATAACTAACCTTTGACATCAGGTTTGGTTACTATTTACTAACCTATCATATGATAACTTGTCTCTGACCCCAGATGTTATAACTAACCTTTGACATCAGGTTTGGTTACTATTTACTAACCTATCATATGATAACTTGTCTCTGACCCCAGATGTTATAACTAACCTTTGACATCAGGTTTGGTTACTATTTACTAACCTATCATATGATAACTTGTCTCTGACCCCAGATGTTATAACTAACCTTTGACATCAGGTTTGGTTACTATTTACTAACCTATCATATGATAACTTGTCTCTGACCCCAGATGTTATAACTAACCTTTGACATCAGGTTTGGTTACTATTTACTAACCTATCATATGATAACTTGTCTCTGACCCCAGATGTTATAACTAACCTTTGACATCAGGTTTGGTTACTATTTACTAACCTATCATATGATAACTTGTCTCTGACCCCAGATGTTATAACTAACCTTTGACATCAGGTTTGGTTACTATTTACTAACCTATCATATGATAACTTGTCTCTGACCCCAGATGTTATAACTAACCTTTGACATCAGGTTTGGTTACTATTTACTAACCTATCATATGATAACTTGTCTCTGACCCCAGATGTTATAACTAACCTTTGACATCAGGTTTGGTTACTATTTACTAACCTATCATATGATAACTTGTCTCTGACCCCAGATGTTATAACTAACCTTTGACATCAGGTTTGGTTACTATTTACTAACCTATCATATGATAACTTGTCTCTGACCCCAGATGTTATAACTAACCTTTGACATCAGGTTTGGTTACTATTTACTAACCTATCATATGATAACTTGTCTCTGACCCCAGATGTTATAACTAACCTTTGACATCAGGTTTGGTTACTATTTACTAACCTATCATATGATAACTTGTCTCTGACCCCAGATGTTATAACTAACCTTTGACATCAGGTTTGGTTACTATTTACTAACCTATCATATGATAACTTGTCTCTGACCCCAGATGTTATAACTAACCTTTGACATCAGGTTTGGTTACTATTTACTAACCTATCATATGATAACTTGTCTCTGACCCCAGATGTTATAACTAACCTTTGACATCAGGTTTGGTTACTATTTACTAACCTATCATATGATAACTTGTCTCTGACCCCAGATGTTATAACTAACCTTTGACATCAGGTTTGGTTACTATTTACTAACCTATCATATGATAACTTGTCTCTGACCCCAGATGTTATAACTAACCTTTGACATCAGGTTTGGTTACTATTTACTAACCTATCATATGATAACTTGTCTCTGACCCCAGATGTTATAACTAACCTTTGACATCAGGTTTGGTTACTATTTACTAACCTATCATATGATAACTTGTCTCTGACCCCAGATGTTATAACTAACCTTTGACATCAGGTTTGGTTACTATTTACTAACCTATCATATGATAACTTGTCTCTGACCCCAGATGTTATAACTAACCTTTGACATCAGGTTTGGTTACTATTTACTAACCTATCATATGATAACTTGTCTCTGACCCCAGATGTTATAACTAACCTTTGACATCAGGTTTGGTTACTATTTACTAACCTATCATATGATAACTTGTCTCTGACCCCAGATGTTATAACTAACCTTTGACATCAGGTTTGGTTACTATTTACAAACTTTCATATGATAAGTGGTCTCTGACCCCAGATGTGATAACTAACCTTAGACCCATGGTATGCTAACTAACCACTGACCCTATAGATTTGATAACTAACATCTAACCTCCTAACTCAGGTATGATAACTAACCTCCTACCTCAGGTTTGATAAATTCTCCTTGATCCCTGGTATGGTAAAATAGCCACTGACCCAAAGTATAAATAAACTTTGACCCAAGGTATGATAAATTATCACTTAATCCAGGTTTGATAAATAAAATTTGTTCCAAGGTAATTAAAAGCCATTGACCCCATGCAAGTTTGATATTAAAACATATTTTCCCAAATATCCGAAGTGGCTATAAAAATATTAAATATTTGAAGAAGTTCTGAGCTGATTTAAGCCTTATTTATATGCACAATTTAAATATTAATGAAGCACTCCTGAGGTGAAACCGGGCTGTACAGCCTCCTGTTGGACTGATCCCTGTCAGAATGGAGCAAGCTGTGTAGAGGGCTGGGGAACGTACCAGTGTGTGTGTGCTAACCCCTGGGCACACATGGGTCACAGCTGTGAGATCAGTGAGTATGCATTACATGTATTTGCAATGTGTTTTTTGGGGTTTGGGGAATAGAATGGGGGAGGGGGGGGGGGGGGGGGGGGGGGGGGGCGAGTCTACCACGATTCTTGAACCTACAAACTGGCCAAAGCGTCAGGAAGTTATGACTTGGTAGAGTTGTCTCCTTTAGAACACAGTTTACTGAAAGTTATATCTTTGTTGAGTTGTCTCCCTTGGGAACACAGTTTACAGAAAGTTAAAACCTTGTTGAGTGGTCACCCTTGAAACATCCCTGAACAGTAGCAAATATTTTGGTTGTAAAACTTTGCAAGTTTGTTGCATATTCTCTGTTAGAACTTATCCATGTGGCGGAAGGATGAGGACTTGCAAAATATGTTTAAATAAGAAGCCTTAATAAAACATGTAAGTTAAGGCAATTTCTGGATAGCCTTGTACTTTCGTCATTTGACTAGATCTTGTACCTAGTTTTAACTTTGTTTGTGAATTTCCTATACAGATATAAATGAAGATGCTGTTTCCTTTAATGGATCGATAACATCGTTTCTGGAGGTGGGTACGGGAGAAGACCTCTCAATGCTAGAGTCGACCATCATTGTGAGTTTCAGGACCACAATTCCTCCTGCTCTTCTCCTCTATATCTATGACCATCTTAACAACTTTGTCCAGCTGGAAGTTACCGGTGTGAACCAGCTACGTCTTAGCTATAATCACTTTGACGTGATTAAGGAAGGGGTTCTTATTGTTGACGGTAAGACATTTGAAATTTTCAGTCAGTTCTAACAAGGACCCTGTGATATTAGTCATTGTTAAAATATAGAGGATCTTACTGACTTTCCGTTTTATTTGAGATCTGTGAAACAAATCTAAAAATTTCTATTTTTTGTCAGTCTCTGTTGAGCTACAATGAAACATCATGACAAGTTTCATAAATCTTGTATGAAAAGAAAAGAAAATTTTCTCAGCTGACTTGAAATCCAAAGTATCAATATTTTGATTCCAAGCCTTTTACTTTTTGAAGTTGCAATATTATTTGAAGGATGTGATGCATTGAAGTTGTCCTAGCCACTAGTGACACCAAAATTAAAATGATGGTAACCTGCAGCCAATTACTGCTCATATTATGTAATGGGGGTTATGGCACTAATAACAGGGTAGTTTTGTGACACAATGCACAATAGTTAATGCACAAATACCATCACAGGACCCTGTTAATTGAAAGAGATAAAAACACAATTTGGTATATATCTATTGGTTCTGATTGGTTACAGGTCTGACAGATGGCACCTGGAAACAGGTGGTGGTCCAGTTCTTACAGGGAGGAGACCGAGGGGTGAAGTTGATCCTAGATGACCTCCAAACCATCGTCCCCTTCCGCACCCTCAAACTCAGCCAGTACTCTGACCATCCCTTTAATACAGGAGGTAGGCTTTCCAAACTGTCAAACAGATGGTTTTAGGTCATATATTAAAGGAGATCATTTCTTCATGTCCAACAAGAGTTTGAATGAACTATATTCACCCCACCCCCCACCCCCACCCCAACTTTCATTTATCACATGCCAGAAGTGTTTAGCCATCATTTGGCCTGTAGCCTAGACATTTTGAAAATGCTAGCTCAAAATGAAAAGTTGTCTCCCCTTCCTAAGACTTGCTGGACACCTGCAATAAGTGAACTGAAACAGGAAAAGGAATTCAACCAATGGTACTATAGTTTGAACTCCAAAAAGATGAATACATTAAAAAAACCACAAGGGCAAAAATGTTGGTGTGTAAAATCTAAGTTTCATGTTTTGTTCCTTGTTTCTGACACCTTTAACACTTTTTAACTAATGTTTGATAAGATTTAATAGGTCATTCCTGGACACAGGCGTTGCTGCCTCTATATATCAACATCAATTATAATGTGAAATACATCGCAGAAAACATAAAATTTAGTCTACTTATAAGAAGCTATATGATTGTATTTTAACTCAAGATTTTTCCGGAATTTGTTTAAGCTTTTCAAAATCAAAATAATGTACAATATGAAATAACATTTTAATGGTGACTATTCCAGATATAGATTATTCTTATAGTAAAGTTATGTTTACTTAGCATTATATGGCAATGTTGTTTGAATATATATTTAATTGTCCAATTGCAGCGAGATCAAATAGTTCCTCCACCAAATTTGGGTCGTATAGCCAAAAAATTATACCCTTAATGAACTATAACTGAATTTTTACAGAGCTTAGAGAGTCTGTTTTTCCACTGAGAGAAGCAGGATCGTCTCCCTTTGTTCGTCTATTTGTGGGCGGAACCTCCAGTCTGAGGACCAGCATTCCTACAATCAATGGTTGTATGAGGGGACTGAAGATTGGCAGCAGAGTTATCTCCCTTCAGGAACTAGCTAGGCACACACCTGGTAAGGAAGCTTGTATCATTTTGTATATCTCTTCTCATATTACTGTCAGATGTGTTCAGTACTTAAGTATTTCTTCTTTTGGATTACAAAATGTTTCCTATTGTTGACAAATACAGAAACATTTTCCAAAACGTACACACTTTTCATTCAAGATAATGAGACTTTTCTTTTAAATTAGGTGCCAGCTATTTATCTGCCATTGATTATATATATCTGCTCTGTTGTGATATAGGTGTTGCAGGAGCATGCCACAGTGGCTGTGTGAACAAACCCTGCCACCACGGGGGCTACTGTTGGGAGAAGTGGGGCCTTAGTGACTACGAGTGTGACTGTACCAACACAGCCTACGCGGGAAAACAGTGTGACATAGGTAATACATGGGGGATAGTCTCAAAACTAAATATCTGTCTCGTCACGCAGGAAAACTGTGTGACATAGGTAATTCATAGGGGACAGTCTCAAAACTAAATATCTGTCTAGTCAAGCAGGCAAACGGTGTGACATAGGTAATTCATAGGGAATAGTCTCAAAACTAAATATCTGTCTAGTCAAGCAGGCAAACGTTGTGACCCAGGTAATTCATAGGGGATAGTCTCAAAACTAAACATCTGTCTAGTCACGTAGGCAAACGGTGTGACATAGGTAATTCATAGGGGAAAGTCTCAAAACTAAATATCTGTCTAGTCAAGCGGGCAAACGGTGTGATATAGGTAATTCGTAGGGGATAGGCTCAAAACTAAATATCTGTCTAGTCACACGGGCAAACGGTGAGACATAGGTTATACATGGAGGATAGTCTCAAAACTAAATCTCTGTCTCGTCATGGGGGCAAACGGTGTGACATAGGTAATACATGGGGGATAGGCTCAAAACTAAATATCTGTCTCGTCACGCGGGAAAACAGTGTGACATAGGTAATAAATGGGGGATAGTCTCAAAACTAAATATCTGTCACGTCACGCAGGAAAACTGTGTGACATAGGTAATTCATAGGGGTCAGTCTCAAAACTAAATATCTGTCTAGTCAAGCGGGCAAACGGTGTGATATAGGTAATTCATAGGGGATAGTCTCAAAACTAAACATCTGTCTAGTCACGTAGGCAAACGGTGTGACATAGGTAATTCATAGGGAATAGTCTCAAAACTAAATATCTGTCTAGTCAAGCAGGCAAACGTTGTGACATAGGTAATTCATAGGGGATAGTCTCAAAAATAAATATCTGTCTAGTCAAGCAGGCAAACGGTGTGACATAGGTAATCCATAGGGGATAGTCTTAAAACTAAATATCTGTCTCGTCATGGGGGCAAACGGTGTGACATAGGTAATTCATAGGGGAAAGTCTCAAAACTAAATATCTGTCTAGTCAAGCGGGCAAACGGTGTGATATAGGTAATTCGTAGGGGATAGGCTCAAAACTAAATATCTGTCTAGTCACACGGGCAAACGGTGAGACATAGGTTATACATGGAGGATAGTCTCAAAACTAAATATCTGTCTAGTCACACGGGCAAACGGAGTGACATAGGTTATACATGGAGGATAGTCTCAAAACTAAATATCTGTCTCGTCATGGGGGCAAACGGTGTGACATAGGTAATACATGGGGGATAGGCTCAAAACTAAATATCTGTCTCGTCACGCGGGCAAACTGTGTGACATAGGTAATACATGGGGGATAGGCTCAAAAAACTGAATAGCTGTCTCGTCACGCAGGAAAACAGTGTGACATAGGTAATACATGGGGGATAGGCTCAAAAAACTGAATATCTGTCTAGTCACGCGGGCAAACGGTGTGACATAGGTAATTCATAGGGGACAGTCTCAAAACTAAATATCTGTCGTGTCACGCAGGCAAACGGTGTGACATAGGTTATACATGGGGGATAGTCTCAAAAAACTGAATAGCTGTCTTGTCACGCGGGAAAACAGTGTGACATAGGTAATACATGGGGGATAGTCTCAAAACTAAATATCTGTCTCGTCAGGCGGGCAAACGGTGTGACATAGGTAATTCATAGGGGACAGTCTCAAAACTAAATATCTGTCTCGTCACTATATAAAAGGGGATTATCTCAAAACTATAGATACGTCTCATTACTTTACATAGGGGGATAGTCTCAAAACTAAATATCTGTCTCGTCACTATATATAAGGGGATTATCTCAAAACTAAAGATATGTCTCATTACTTTATATAGGGGGATAGTCTCAAAACTAAATATCTGTCTCGGCAATTTACATTAGGGGTAGTCTCAAAACTAATCATCTGTCTCATCACTTAACAAAAGAGGATTATAAGTCTCCAAACCAAATATATGTCTCATCACTTTACAAAAGGGGATAGTCCCAACATTAAATACCTGTCTCATAACTTTACGTAAGTTGATAATCTCAAAACTAAAATATCTGTCTCATCACTTTACATAAGGGGATTGTCTCAAAATGAAATATATGTCTCATCACTTTACATAAGGGGTTAGTCTCAAAACTAAATATCTGTCTCATCACTTTGCATTTGAGGGGTAGTCTCCAAATTAAACGTTTGTTTCATCACTACGCTGTTTAACAGTGAGGCATTATAATACATGAGAGGATAAATATCTGTCTCATCACTAGGGTGTAGTATTGGTATAGTTTATATGTAAAAAAAACGGATATTTTAATAGAAAAAAGGACAATGAGTGTGCTGTTGCATTGACAAGTTTGATAATGCTGTGTTTATTATATTCAGAGGCATCCGGTACCTTCGACGGTCAGTCCGTAGTGGAATACATGTTTAGACCCAATGGTCAAGCACGACAGACGTCCACTGACAAGGTGTCCCTGGTGTTCCAGACCAATGCAACAGGAAGTGAGCCCATGGTCCTCATTGTTGTCATCAGCTCAAGGTGAGAGTTCAAAGTTATGTTGTACTCAGATCTAGGTTAGAGGTCAAGGTTCTGACCTAAGGTCTAGGTCATGGGGGTCAAAATTATGTCATACTCAGTTACAGGTTATATTTTAGAAGTCAAGGTTCTGACCTAAGGTCTAGGTCATGGGGGGTCAAAATTATGTCATACTCAGTTACAGGTTATATTTTAGAAGTCAAGGTTCTGACCTAAGGTCTAGGTGAGAGGTCAAATGTCTAACAAGTGTAAGTCTCCAGCCATACATGCCATATCTAGACTCCAGATTAATGGTCATAGTTCTATCCTAGCCTCAGGGTTTTAGAACAAGATTCTCTCCTGGAGATTTGAGAAACAGTATTTTTTGTGTGTTCTATTGTCTGGATCATTGTATCTTTGTTGTAGCCACACCGACCACGACTTCGTCACACTCTGGATGAAACCTGATGGAGGTGTCCATGTGACCACCAGTCAAGGGGGAGTTCATCGTAAGTACACTATTATTAGCTCATCTGGCACAAAAACCATTGTAACTCACCTGAAACAAGTACTTGGGAGCTTAGGACCTGGCTCAGTGCCCATCTGACCATTTTCCATCTGTCCATTGTCCATCTGACCATTGTTCATCTGACCATTGCCCATCTGTCCATTGTCCATCTGTCCATTGTCCATCTGTCCATTGTCCATCTGACCATTGTCCATCTGTCCATTGTCCATCTGTTCATTGTCCATCTGTCCATCTGTCCATTGTCCATCTGACCATTGTCAATCTGTCCATTGTCCATCTGACCATTATCCATCTGACCATTGTCCATCTGTCCATTGCTCATCTGTCCATTGTCCATCTGTCCATTGTCCATCTGTCCATTGTCCATCTGACCATTGTCCATCTGTCCATTGTCCATTTGACCATTGTCCATCTGACCATTGTCCATCTGTCCTTTGTCCATCTGTCCATTGTCCATCTGACCATTGTCCATCTGACCCTAACATTGTCTTTAAATTGACCCCTCTTAAGGACCATAGTATGCAGCTGAGTCAAAGGGATATCCAATTTGTTTTAAAAAGTGACTTTGAACAACACTCAAGGTGACAGGAATCAAATATGTATATATATATATATGTCAAAAACTTAAATTTCTTCTCAGGAACCACAAAGCCTTAGGTCATGATATTTGTAATGGAGCTAGCTATGGTGATAAGTTGTTTTGACTACTTACCTTAACATCATGGGGGCGAAAAACAGAAACACAGCAATTATTTTGTTTGACCTAATAGCACTATTTATTTTCTGGCTGTGATATAGATTTGATGACCTTATTTTCACTCTCTCTTACAGATGGACTGAGTCTGGACGGAATGTTTGCAGACGGCCGACCTCACAAACTGGTATACCAACACACTGAGTCTGAAATGTCCCTGAAGGTAAGTCACATCTGTCTCACCTTGGGATAGCATGCATGGTAGGCTTCACGGAGTGGTAGACACAGATCTGTCCGGTGTGAAGATTCTACTTTGAATATTCTTTACAAAAAAATCTACTGAAAACAATGTACTTATAACATTTGTTTCAAAATCTTTAGAGTTGAAATTTTGGAAACTATTTTGAATTGCATGTTTTGTAAAGTATATTGTTAGTTAAAAATTAAAATAAGCAATGATTTGAATATGATTATGTTCAAATATTATATTTTGAGTAAGATTTTGTAAACAATGTTTCAAGTGAATTGTATTGAGTTGGATGTTATATTATATTTTGAGTATTGAATTTGGAGTAGAATTTCTGTAAACAATATTTGGAGTATTATATTTGGAGTAGAATTGTGTAAACAATATTTTGAGTATTGAATTTGGAGTAGAATTTCTGTAAACAATATTTGGAGTAGGATTTCTGTAAACAATATTTCGAGTATTATATTTGGAGTAAAATTGTGTAAACAATATTTGGAGTATTATACTCGGAGTAGAATTTGTGTAAACAATATTTGGAGTATTGAATTTTGAGTAGAATTTCTGTAAACAATATTTTGAGAATTATATTTAGAGTAGAATTTCTGAAATCAATATTTGGAGTAGGATTTCTGTAATCAATATTTGGAGTAGGATTTCTGTAATCAATATTTTGAGTAGAATTTCTGTAATCAATATTTTGAGAATTATATTTAGAGTAGAATTTCTGAAATCAATATTTGGAGTAGGATTTCTGTAATCAATATTTTGAGTAGGATTTCTGTAAACAATATTTTGAGTAGAATTTCTGTAATCAATATTTTGAGTAGAATTTCTGTAATCAATATTTTGAGTATTATATTTTGAGTAGAATTTCTATAAACAAAAGTTGGAGTATTATAATTTGAGAAGAATTTCTGTAAACAATATTTTGAGTATTATATTTTGAGTAGAATTTCTGTAAATATTATTTGAGTAGTACTGTATTAACTGTAAGACATGATGACCACGGATGTCTACATACAGGTACTTGGGACGTCAAATGTGAGTACACACGCACCATTGGCATGTGACTGGCTAATGTTACGTGTTCACCATTTCTGCCTTCTGCTTAGTCAGTATATATTATATCACACAGGCCTTTATACATAACTGTTGACTACAGATATTAGGGGATTGTCGTCTGCCTGCGATGTGACATCGTCCACAACTGTCGTCCACTAGCTTATATACCCAATCAATCTCCCCAAAACCTATGGCTTTCTCTGTCGATTGCTTTACTGTGACAAACAACATTGTTTTTTCTTTATACATATTTCTAATTCTTTTCTCTACAAATGATTTAGTAAACCACAAGTGTTGGCTTCTCTTTTACTTAAAAATAGACCTAAATATATAAAATGGCTGTTTTTTCATTATTTTTTGTTGAGCTTTCTACAGAATAAGATTTTTTTCGTAATGTTCACGTCCACTCTGCTATATTGTGTCAATGTTGGGGCTGTCGTTTGACAGTAAGTCAATGTTGAGCTGTCGTTTGGCAGTAAGTCAATGTCGGGGCTGTCGTTTGACAGTAAGTCAATGTCGGGCTGTCGTTTGACAGTAAGTCAATGTCGGGGCTGTCGTTTGACAGTAAGTCTTCAGCGTCGTCTTGTTGTAATGTCACTGCTGTACTGAGGTCATGAACCTAAGAAAAGGTGAAGGTCATAGAGCAGTTACAAACATGTTAACTAGAATGAAGTAGAAAGTAGAATGAACCCATCATACTGAATGACTTCTTCAAAAGGAACTGATCAATTTCCTCATTTGGAAAAAACATACGTCTTGATAAGTGACTTTAGACTTTTGTTTTATAACTTACTGGTAACATTTCATTTTTCAACTTTTAATTTATCTTGTAACTTTCATCCACCTCTCTAACTGCTTTCTGACCTACAGAATGTTAAAAATAATTGTACAAGTTCTTTTGTAAATGCTCTTATTCCTTATTGATCCTAACAAACGGGGGATCTTTTTGTCTGTTTTACATGCATGCATCACCTTAAGTTAATTTCTGGACAAAGAGTTTTCGGTTTAGGAATGGTTTGTACAGTAGTTGGATCAGATACTAAAACAATGAAATCAACTTAAATGTTGATCATAATCTTATAAATGGTTTCATCAGGGTTATAAATAAAGATGTCACTAAATGCTGGGACAAGGAATGTATAAATGGTTATATGAAATCATTTCTTGTTCAATACCCTATATATTCTATACCCTACTGTTGGACAGGTTTTATTTTTGTTACCTTTATTTTCATTTAATGTTTGTGTCACAGTACGAGGCAACTAATGTGGACCCCTGCAGAATCGGAACCTTTCTTGTTTTTCTCCTGCATAGGAGACATCAGAGATACAAAATGTGATCTGTTGCCCCCATTTCAATACGTAGGGCCTCTATTTTTTCCCTCCTACGTCAACCTTCTTTTAGTTTATTCCCTCCGATGTCTACCTTGACATCTGTGGTTGGTTTGTCAGAACAACGTAACTGGGTAGAGTTACATGCTGCTGTGTACAAGTTATGTCATTTCAGCGAGATGACACGTAAAGTGTCCCATGAGTAGTGCCATTATCTGGTGACACTTTCTTCATGTCACGGTGGAAAAGGCGTCATGACTAGAAGAAGTGTGGCAGTTCTAAAATCACATCATAATTAGACAATGTGATATGAATGGCAAAATGACTAAAAGATAGATTGACTTGTATTAAATTAGACCTGGCTATTGTGTACTGAGCAAATGTATGGCAATCCAAGGGTTTTATAATCTGTCACAAAACTATTCACACAATCCTCACAATTTGTATTAGCATAAGACTTCATATGACATATTTATCTTTGATCATATTTTAATTATAAGTGTTTATAAAAGAACACAATTTACAAGAAAAAGATGTACAGATATTTCTATTTATTCACTTTTTAAACACATACCAAATATCACACATATACACTCTTACCTGCCTTTTCCTGCACAATTTCACAATTAAAGATGAATTCAATACCTTGTCGATGAGAGTAATTATCTCCCTTAGGTATATACAAGGTAGACTACTCCATGTCTATAAAACTGCTCTGAAATGAAGCTTGTGTTCCTGATTATTATGTATTTGTACACTCTAATACTAACCATTAGCCAATATTATATCTTACCTGTCCAGCTGATATTATATCTTACCTGTCTATCTGATATTATATCTTACCTGTCCAGCTGATATTATATCTTACCTGTCCAGTTACCTGTCCAGCTGATATTATATCTTAACTGTCCAGCTGATATCAACATGACTAGTAACACATGTTACTTGGATGTGCATAACTGACCAGTATCTGCTATTTAGCTGACAAGTTGTTGACCTCTAGCTGACCTTTACTTTGATGACCTTTAACCTATATTCTGTTTACATTGAATTTTTCTGTGCAACACACACTCCTATGAAGTGATCTTTTCTTGAGATACAACTATCTCTGTGTTTTCATCCCCAAAACAGTCTACAATGTATTAACAGTCTATATAGAGACCTCCTATAGATCTGTTCAGTGTTATATGGATGTGAGTAATCAAATCTTTCTGCACCATGGGGGTAAGACAAAAAACATATCTACTCTTGGGGTAAGATTCTTAAATGTCAATCCAGAGACTTTGGGCCAGACATTTAACAATGTTACCCAAAGGATGGAGATTTTTTCTGTCTCGCTCCCAAAGATGGGAAAGATTATTTTTCTCCCCACCTCAAATGTTGTTGAATGAAATAAAAGCATTGATTGCATGGTTTTCCAGAAAACCCAGTGAGCTATTGCTATAATTTATGATTGTTGGTATTACGTCAATGAATAGTTGATGTTATGTCATTTTATTGTTGATGTGACGTCATACAGTTGGTATGACTGGGAATCCCCTCATCTTTACCTAGGGTAAGACAGATACACCTTCTCTAACCTGGTGTATGGATATCTCTGTCTCATGGGGGAGAAAATTACTGTGTTAATCTGACTTCTATAGGAACTTTTGTTGATCTTAAGTTGACCTCCTGTTGATGTTAGCTGGACCATTGACAACTGTCCTGTGGACAATTACTAATTGGCCTTAACGGTTGGATGAACAGTTGTTGAATGTCGCTTTTGCATGTCACTGAAATTTACAAGGCACATGAATGTAATACATTGTAATATTAATATGCTTCTTTTCATGTTTTGCTTTTTGAGGTAATGACTATTATTATCAACAAATACCGGAAATCCTTCTATACCAATCCCTTCCTCCTCCGCTGTCCTTCCTCCCTCCCCAGCAGCCAGCCAGTAGGTGGTTCTTATAGCAGAAGGTTCTCTAGGTCTCCCTAACTCTGATCTGTGCTATTACATAACCTTCAGAAATCCTGCAGAAAATTTCATATTTCAGTCCTAGGGCTTGTCAATGTTTTTTTTGCTCCAACACCAACAAAGTTATATGCTGCACAATTATGTAATGACCATTCCACCCTTCCGTCAGGACACCTTCTGATGTGTATCATTGAATATTCATCATTATTTCAAGGGATTTTACCCTTATGCTTAGCTCAATGATTTGATAGAATTTCTGCTACAACTGCAACAATAAAACAAAACGTTTCTGTTTTGTGAATTAATTACTCAGACATCATCTTCTGCATTGATTATTTATGATAAATATCTATTTATGGGGAAGGCAACAAGAATTCAAAAGTTTTCAAAGGATTGCCCCAGCTCCTATTGCTGCTAGAGGTTTTGAAGGAGTTGTGATATAAAAAACAATTATGGTTGGGTTTTGTCCATTCAATCGAAATTGATTTATCCATTTGAAACTTTCCTTTACAAATTTTGAACAAATGATGTTTGAAAAGATTTCTGGTAGACATAGATAGGAGAAGGAAGTGTTATGTAAATTTTCTTTTTTATGCTCTTGATCCTGTTTTGAGTCGTGGATCTGTTGACTATAGGCAATAATGTTGAATATTCATGAGTAATTACCTAACAGAGAAGCCCATGAGAAGTCTAGAATAGACTGTAGTTCTGTATCCATGGTCTGGGAGTATATGATTATTTCTAATTAAGTTGTGCTTCCTTGAAAGGGGCACCAGTTACACTATCTGTTTGCAGACTACATGTAACAGTGAAGAGCTATGACAAGGGACACAACTAAGAATTTGCAGGAGATATGTGCCTTATAAAATTAGTGTCTTGTTGACTTGACAGGTGGATGTGGAGGCCATGGAGACTGTTCCCATCTCTAACAATCCACTCCAGGTACTGGACACGGTCCTAGTGGGAGGTTTCACCCCTACCAGTGTGTACGACAACTTCAGCCACCGCAACAAGTACCGCAACTTTACTGGCTGTTTGTCAGGTGTGTATACTTCTGTCAGGGTTGTATATATAGCAACAAATAAATGTACTGCAACTTACCAAGTGTTCTTGTCAGGTGTGTATTTAACCAAATACCACATTCTATAACTATGTGTACGAGGAGGGTTATAATTTACGACAAGGTTTGAGCGTCTGTTTATCAAGTTATTTTTTCATAGTGGTAAGGTTTGAGCGTCTGTTTATTAAGTTATTTTTTCACAGTGGTAAGGTTTGAGCCCGTGGCTGGTGCCCGGATGTACCTACAACAGCCCCTAAAAACCCTGCGTGACAATCTCAAAGACTCGATAGTTATTCATGGTAACAAGGTGCCCCCTTGTTCATCGCCAATTGCCATTGACCTGCAGCATGATGCCACCACGACGACAACCCACCCAACAACAGCAAATGGTGGCATGCAGGTGAGACAAATAATTCATTAAAAAGTTATTATAAGGTTGTCTTGTAATTTATCAAACCAATATCATTGAGTGTGTTTTAAATGCAACGTTGGCTTAATTTTCCTAATCTAACTTTTTTTGTGTCAAAAATTTGTCAAAAGAATGATGAGAATGGGTTTATCTGAAGGTTTTTTCGGGGTAAACCTTAGATTATCAATAAAACATACTGTTTCCAAGATAACATACGGTGCTCTGTGGTACATTGACCTCCTTTTGAGGATGTCATATGATGACATTGGAACTGAAAGAGTAAATACTGGCCATTAACATTTAGTCTACCTAAGAATGGGTTGGAATAGCTTTCAGAACTGTAAATTTGAAATCTATGCCAAAAAATAGAAAAGGAATACTGGTAGGTGTACATGTTGTACCTGGATTAAGGACAAGATAAGGAGGGGGAGTTCTAGTCCTTTGGGCTTGATCACTTCCTGGTTGATTCCCATAGAGTATTACCACAGCTAGATTACCACAGCTAGATTCCCATAGAATATTACTACAGCCTATATTCCCATAGATTATTACCAAGACTAGATTCCCATAGAGTATTACCACAGCTAGATTACCATAGAGTATTACCACAGCTAGATTACCATAGAGTATTACCACAGCTAGATTACCACAGCTAGATTCCCATACAGTATTACCACAGCTAGATTCCTATATAATATTACCTCAGATAGATTACCATAGAGTATTACCACAGCTGGATTACCACAGCTAGATTACCATAGAGTATTACCACAGCTAGATTCCCATAGAATATTACCACAGCAAGATTCCCATAGAGTATTACTACAGCTAGATTCCCATAGAGTATTACCACAGCTAGATTCCCATAGAGTATTACCACAGCTAGATTACCATAAAGTATTACCAAGACTAGATTACCATAGAGTATTACCACAGCTAGATTCCCACAAGGTCTTTTTGCTTTTTCAGAAGCTGATGATGCCTCCGTGGAACCCTGGGCCTGCAGAGACAATTTTTCTGAACCCAGCCCCGCCTAAGACATCAAGTAGCACACCCTCCCCTACCATTCCGGTAAGCCTGTCTTCTACTCAGGCTACTACCCCTCAGGCCAACCTAACACGTCCCAGACCAGTCCTCGAGTCCAGATTCATGAATGATGAAACCATTGGTGAGTGAATTCAGATATGTATATTTCAGCAAAAAACAGTGTAAATCTTAATTCATTGAACTAAGTTGTCAGTTAGCATTCATAGGCAGTATGTATATGCCAACTGGACAAATGCAAACTCAGTGTTACTTGTTTAAACCTGCTTAAATTTACCTTTGTCCTGTTGGCATTCATATGTGGTCATTCTGTTCCATATCTGTTATAATGCTGGCTTATGGTACATACTACAGATACTGTGAGTCACATGAAATGATATTATGAATGCCTGCCCAAGTAAGTAAGAGAGACACTGACCATCTCATAATTTTCTTGCATGCATTACAATATTGGCTGTGTAAGTTATAGGGATACAGACCTCAGGGGCCTCTTTGTTACATTGTAATGCTGGCTTTGCTAAGTTATAGGGATACAGACCTCAGGGGCCTCTTTGTTACATGCATTCAAATGCTGCCTGTGTTTTATTTCAGTGATCCTTATGTGTGTCATTGTGTTCATCCTGCTCATCACCATTATTATCACACTCATCTTGTGGCGGTTCAAGAAAAAGAAGGGCTATCGGTTTAAGCAGAAGGAGGACTATGAGATGAAACAGCCTCTGAACCACACATGTGGCTCCAGTTCCCCGGTCAGTCCTGCACTAAGTGCACCGGGCAGCCCAGCAATCAAGGACCATCTAGCTAGATTGGACGAGTTTTCTATGGTGTCCGCAACATTGGGACGTAAGTAACCCAGGTCTCCATATTGGGATTGTATTAAAATATATCATACTACCATCCTTGAAACCATTTTGTCTAACATTGTTGTTCAGGTCATGTTTTCAGGAAGTAAATAGAAAATTAATACAAGATTAAATATTATCTTTCCAGAAAATGCTTTACATCTAGGCCTGCATAGGTATATAATAAATGTGAGATCACACATATCTTTATCTCCCAACATTTAACTTGTTTACTGTGCAGTCAGAGATATATCCACTTAAACATGTCCGCACACAATCTCATGATACCTTCTACAGCAGTTAGTAACATATAGGTGTTACATTCAGTATGTAACAGGTGACTCAGTGTGTAACAGGTGATTCAGTATGTAACAGGTGACTCAGTGTGTAACAGGTGATTCAGTATGTAACAGGTGACTCAGTGTGTGTAACAATTTACTCAATATATGCTAGATATAATTGATCTCTTTCAGCTTCATTGCGGCGACATGAAAATGGCATCCGACCAGGAGGATTGGAGGTAAGTTACCTCACAGTAAACCTACACCAGGACATTTTTGCAGCAGTTTAACTTCTGCCTTATTTGTCCTCTGTGATGAACTTCATGAAGGCAAATTTGTCATGTCAGCAACTGTTAAAACACTGCGTATAATACATAGTGAAGGTTGAAATTAATATAGATTTTATCAGTGAGAAACAAATATCAGTGTGAAAGTTTCTGGGGATAAACTACTGGTTATCACAGTCATCATCTGTTGGTCTGGTTGTAGGGGATGTTTACTTCTCATGGTCACACAAATGTTTGTATGTGTTGTAGGGTATGTTTACTTCTCATGGTCACACAAATGTTTGTATGTGTTGTAGGGTATGTTTACTTCTCATGGTCACAAATGTTTGTATGTGCTGTAGGGGATGTTTACTTCTCATGGTCACAAATGCTTGTATGTGTTGTAGGGGATGTTTACTTCTCATGGTCAAAAATGTTTGTATGTGTTGTAGGGGATGTTTACTTCCCATGGTCACACAAATGTTTGTATGTGTTTTAGGAGATGTTTACTTCTCATGGTCACACAAATGTTTGTATGTGCTGTAGGGGATGTTTACTTTTCATGGTTACACAAATGTTTGTATGTGTTGTAGGGGATGTTTACTTCTCATGGTCACAAAAGTTTGTATGTGTTGTAGGGGATGTTTACTTCTCGTGGTCACACAAATGTTTGTATGTGTTGTAGGAGATGTTTACTTCTCTGCCTTATTTGTCCTCTGTGATGAACTTCGTGAAGACAAATTCGTCATGTCAGCAACTGTTAGAACACTGCGTATAATACATAGTGAAGGTTGAAATTAATATAGATTTTTATCAGTGAGAAACAAATATCTGTGTGAAAGTTTCTGGGGATAAACTACTGGTTATCAAAGTCATCATCTGTTGGTCTGGTTGTAGGGGATGTTTACTTCTCATGGTCACACAAATGTTTGTATGTGTTGTAGTAGATGTTTACTTCTCATGGTTACACAAATGTTTGTATGTGTTGTAGGGGATGTTTACTTATCATGGTCACACAAATGTGTGTATGTGTTGTAGGGGATGTTTACTTCTCATGGTTACACAAATGTTTGTATGTGTTGTAGGGGATGTTTCCTTCTCATGGTCACACAAATGTTTGTATGTGTTGTAGTAGATGTTTAATTCTCATGGTCACACAAATGTTTGTATGTGTTTTAGGAGATGTTTACTTCTCATGGTCACACAAATGTTTGTACGTGTTGTAAGGGATGTTTACTTCTCATGGTCACACAAATGTTTGTATGTGTTGTAGAAGATGTTAACTTCTCATGGTCACACAAATGTTTGTATGTGCGATCAAAGTTAGAGCTAAGTATAACTATTCATTGTATTTCTGAGAGTCTACAACTTACCACAAATTGTGGTACTGAAGTAAAGGAACTCTATGCAGCTAGAGAGAATTTCTCATTCTTTATTTTAAATCTTACGTGTTAATCTCAATATTAGGGCTACTGATTTGGATTTATAATCTTTAGGCTTACTTGTCACGAATCAAATCAACGGTATAATTGGTATAAAAATGGAATATTTACACATTTCATTTATAGCCATTACTTAGTCAAGAAGAGGATGTGCCAGAATACACTATGCAAACGTTTTTCAACAAAAAGAAAAATCGACCAGCATCTTCAATCTCAGAGGTGTTGGAAGAAATGGAAAGACAGCGTAGACGAGGTAAGGTCATAGGTCAAAAAGTTCCTTTCAAGAGAACAAAATGTTTCGTATTCTATGTTTCATTTTTTAATCAATTTTGCCAAATAAGAAATTGAGCGCATACTCTGAGTTTGAGAATGTGAATAGTTTTGTAAACACAAGCCCTTGAGATAAATTCTTGTCATAAAATATTTACTAGAAAAACAATGAAACAACTATTTAGTATTTATTGAAACCGAATGCAAACGAAATAAGCATGAATAAAACCTAGGACTAATTGGGATTAAACCCAAATGTATCTGATTTAATGAGTTTTATTGGACCAGTTCAATACCATATTTTACTTTGTTTTCACAAAACACTTGTAAAATTAATCCTATCATCCTAACACAAAAGTACCCTTATTAGCAAGATGTGTTTTTCTGGTCATGTTGGGCGAAATTTAATCCCTGCGAACTAGTTCTGAGCAGGAAATCCACGAAATATTAGCCCCGTGAAATTAAACAAAAATACAGACTGGATGTAAGTTCTCTGTGTGTCTTTGATTGGATTTAAATACTGTGTATGTAAGACTTGACTAAATAGAAATACTATTTAGCTCAATCTAACTGGATATTGATAAAATTGATCTCAAACTTGTTTATACCTAATGTCAGTTTTAAATTTGAATGGATAAAATACTGTCTATTTCAGACCCAGACCCGGGACGAGGTGTGGGAGCCAGCCCACAGGAGGAGGGTCCTCCAGACTGGGAGGTACCGGGCCCTGCCCCAGAGGTAAGTACCAGTCACCTACTCTCCAGACCTAGGATTGATCATTAGTGAGCTGGTCAAAAAACAACAATGTATAAATCCCAGTTTTCATTTCAGAAAGTTATCATTATAACTTCAGGATTCATTTTCGATACTAGCACTCATCATTGGCATCCTATTTTAGGACAGATGATTACATACATCTTAGACTTGATAAATGTTTGGCTGTGTGTCAATAGCGCAGGATACTCAGCAGTTTATGGGAGGACAGGAGATATATGCAAAATATATGCCATCAAGCAATGCAAATACCTTCATAGATGTCCTGGTTACCAGTCAAGTGTGAAAGGGGAGACACTACACATTGTAGCATCAGAACATACTCCTGTAGCAGGTATATATAAATTGGAAAATGGACTGGCTGGGTTTTATCACAGGAACAAAACTGGGGATTTATAACATGTTTTTTGATAAACTTTATATAATTACTGCTAGTAAATAATTATATGATGATCTATCTTACAGTTTGATGAGCAGGAAGTGGATGGAAAGGACACAGGAAGTGATCCCCTACTGATAGATGGGCCAGTCACACACCACACAGCAGACAGTGGATATGAGGCTGAGTCACGCCCCGAAACTAATACCCCCTCACCCCCCTCCCCTCAAAAGTCCTACTTAGATGAATCCATCACTTCCCCACCATCACCCAAATCATACCTTTACGAGCTCGCTGGATTCAGCGGCAGTGAAGTTCCAAACTGTGCCTCCACGCCACGTAAAAGTTCCACAGACAGTAGTCCGGAGGTCATCACGTAGATTCATGGCTGTGACCACACTAACTATTCCTGTAGCACCGTGATCGGAGGCCACACAAAGTGTTCCAGTGGCACATATTCCAAAGATGTGTATATTGTTGACAAGCGAAATATTTTTATCAAAAAAATAAAAAGATAAATACTAATTGATTAAAAATGTTAAATTATTGACATATTAAATATTTTACAATTATGAAGAAAAATAAGAATGCATATATACCTACATTATGTATGAAGAATAATTTATTAAGAATGTTCTTGAATGTAATATGTGCGCAACCGTTTCCTAAGCATTATTTACTGTATACAACATTTATTTGTGCAATAGATGCATTCCACAACTGTTGTGGCTGGAGAAAACTACCTGCTTATATGACTGGACTATTTGTAACATTATTACGTTGGTCCTGGAGAGATTTTTCTCTACATTGGCCAACCTATACAATGTTTAGAAGCCCAACAATATGTACCAGTTTAATTGTTATTTAATTTTACTTAAACTCATAATTGAATCTGGATAATCTAATGTTTTGTTTTAGCTGCAGATTACAGAGTGTTTAAGTCTGCCATTTCTTTTTCATCAGTTTGTTTTGTGTATTATGAAAACAAGACGCTAATTAAAGTATTTATGAATTTGTCAGGGGAGACAACTTCACCACTCTTGTTTTGTACCATACTTAAATAAGTTTTGAAACTGAATTAACCGATCTGCCTATCCTGTTTATGAATATGACTTGCACTATATTAACTGTATACATTTCATTGAATGATGCATGGTATCCCTGTCATTATACATTAGCTGTAAGGAATGCATTTTTTATTGAGGATATAATAATGGGAGATGAGTCTTCTGTGATTTTAATCCTTTCCTGAATGTACCTGTTAATGATAAATGGAAGAAAAACGTACACAGTTTACCATTTTATCAACCTTATTTTTATAGAATCTCTAATCTAACAAAATATCTCGTCCAAAGTGGTATCATTATTAGAATCTCTTGTTATGAACTTCTGAAATATCTGATAAAGGTAACCCAATCTCTTGTTTCTGTTCCACTGACTAGTTTAGTGAAGAGGTCAGATTAAAGCACTTTCATTCCTCACTACAATATACCAATGTTCTCTGTCAGGTGGGATACAATTATCCTTTTATCCTGTTTTTGTAATAAATTAACTCCCTCAAAGTTAAGTTGATACTTATAATTATGTCTTTAGGTTGGGAAAGATATTGTATACAAAAATGAAAATGATAAGAAGCAGATAAATGGCTATGGAGGTGGGGGGGATCTTTTTCGTTAAAAATTTGGCAAGTTTTGCAATAATTTAGATTTTTCTGAATTGTTAAGCACCCGAAGACATTCTTGAATAAAATACTGTATTGTGATTAACACACCTATTTTTACTATTGACACACATTCCTACTGTTTGATACATTACAATTAATCATTTACACATTGTTTTACCTCCCACAGATATTATTTGAAAAAACATTCAAATACATCAACTTCTTATTGCCTTATGTTACTGCTGTATTCATTGTTTTCTTCTTCCATCCTTCATTAATTTGTTTTCTTGTTTTAGCCGTTTGTGATTTATCTGTCAATCACAAAGGTGGAGACAAATTTCATCCATTCATGTTTGAAAAATCACAATGAAAACAAATGGATGGTATTAGTTTTACAATCAGGCGACATTATATTACGGCTGGTATGTATCGTAAAACGCCTTTTTTTTTTGAAAAAATATCCTTTTTATGGCTGGAGAAATATAATCATTCTCTACTTTAAGGGAATAAGACAAAGGGATATCAAGCCTCAGGGTAAAATTGTTGGATATCAAACCCTTAGGTTTGTACAATCAAAAAGATTTTATCATCCTTAAGTACGGATCTTTTATCATCCTTAAGTACGGATCTTTTATCATCCTTAAGTACGGATCTTTTATCATCCTTAAGTACGGATCTTCACAATTTCTGATTCCCCTTTACGTTCCTGATGGTTTCAAATCATCAGTTGTTTTACGATTTGTCAAATAAAGGCTAACTCATCCTCTTTCAAGTAAATTTCTTGCATGTGTCAAAATGCTATACCTACTTCGTGGTAAAGAATTGTTCTTGTTCCTATCACAGGTGACCCAACCTTACAAATGTCTTAATTTGTTGTTTGCCTGTATATATGTAGAAGTCTCTTGTTAAATACTTGGGCATTAAAACACTGGGTACTTAAACTGACATTCTTTGTACATAGTAAAGCTGATTCAGCTACGGCTGTGTTTCTGGTGCACTCTTGCTGTTTCCGCTACGACCATTTTTCTGTGAATTTTAAAATGTGTATAAACGCTGCCTTAGCTCTGTCTTATTCTTACACACCTACCTCCCTTTAGTGCACTTGTATACCTGTTGTCATTAGATCTGACCACATGAGTCACAGGTTTCCATGGTAACACCACACGAAATACACAGTTCAGTTCCAACAGTGTTTGCCAGTTGAATAGAGTCATTACCGACAGACACACAGACACTCCTTCCTGAACTCTTGTCAGAGTTGTTTACTCTTAATTACCTCTTTTTCTGCCGTTTGATCTGTAGTCGGAATTCACAGTAACACATTTTTAAGTAATTTTCTGGTATGTGCAATCTGATTTTCTTTCTTTTCCATAGATCTGTTTTATAAACCGTCAGTGAAATATGCTTTATTTGATTATTCCTAGTAATGGTGTCATTCAACAGGGTCAACTGGGTTATGTACCAGGTAGTCCAGCCCAATGTCACATTTAAGCTGTTTGATAAGTTCCCAAGGGATATAACTCATATAAACACATTTTAATGTAGAAGGTAGCATATCTTCATTTTGTATATATATCTGAATCGCCAATCGACTTAGGTATGCTTATTATACAACAAACAGTACAAGTATCCCAAATATGGAAACTATTTTGACTCTGTATCTTCCTTTGTTTGAAGAGTATTGTTACATACACCAAGAATACTGTCACGCTCTTGGAGCGTTTCCAGATAGGTTGTCATGTTGTTAATATGCTTTATGTGTGTTGCTGTTTGTGGTGTATGGTAAATATGTCAATGAGGCCAAGCCTTTCTGTAATGTAGATGAGCAACTGCCAATTCCGTGTCACAGAGATGTAACATGACCTGTTCCCCTAGTACTTCAGTGTCACAGAGATGTAACGTGGCCTGTTCCCCTAGTACTTCAGTGTCACAGCGATGTAGCTGACCTGTTTCCCTATAGTACTTCAGTTTCACAGAGATGTAACGTAACCTGTTCCCCTAGTACTTCAGTATCACAGAGATGTAGCGTGACCTGTTCCCCTAGTACTTCAGTGTCACAGAGATGTAGCTGACCTGTTTCCCTATAGTACTTCAGTGTCACAGAGATGTAACGTGACCTGTTCCCCTAGTACTTCAGTGTCACAGAGATGTAACGTGACCTGTTCCCCTATAATACTTCAGTAGATTTCAATTAATACTACTTCTCATTTGTCAGAAGAAAACAGGATATTAATCAGATCGTGACATAAAATGAAAACATGTTTTTCTGACGATTTGGTCTGTAGGCTATCTCTTGCAGTTTTGAATCTCTAGAAACTGTGTTTTTTTAAACAGTTGTGTGTCTGTATTTAACTGCTATATAACATTTTAAGATATGCAAAATGAGGAAATCATAACTTTTGTAAGAAATAGAAAAGAACAGAGTAAGATTTCTCCCATTCAGACAATAGTCAATGTACATATAGAACCAGAACATGTAGTGTTAGTATTTAAAACCTGGTAACGATTATTTTAGAGTAAATTATATTCAATATTTTACAAACTATCATTAATTTTGAATTTATCAGTGCCTCTTGTGACTTAAGCAAACCATAAGTTGTTTTACACAAATATATGTTTCTGGATAAATTCCAAAAACAAAAATTCAATAGATATTTTTAGCTCAGTTAGTTCACAATTTTACATAATCAAAATGATATCTAAATCTCATTGCAATTGAGGAAAAATCAAATATTTTATTTATAATTGTTGGATGTTAAGTAACACAATAGCATGTTTCTCTGATATTATTTTGATTGTTTTAGATGTATAGAAATATATAAGCAGTACCGTTGCCTCCAAAATATGTTTATTCCTACTTTTCTTTTTAAAAAAATGGAAATAGTCCTGGGCCCGTATTCATGAAACCGTTCTCATGCTCAAGCATGAATATTGTGCTCAAGCTGAATTACTTGTTCTCCTTACAAATTAATAAAAAAAATCTCACTTTGTCAATGATTTAGAAAAGATTGAAGTGACTCAAGGCCGAAAACTGTTTTCAATGTTTACATTTGACTTTTTGATAGTTTGACATGATTTAAGTGAGTTACAAGAAAGTTGGTTTGAGCACAGAATCCATGGTTGAGCATGAAAACGGTTTCATGAATGTGAGCCCTGGCTATTAAGATCTGCTGTGTTATAGTTAAATCAATGTACTGACACTACATGTTTTAGAGAAAACAGTTTTTGAGGATATCGGACAATAAGTTGAGGCAATTGAGGCGGTCGTTCTGTCAAAGGGTATATAGAAAGGTACTACAAAAGCAGGCGTTGATGGATGCTATTCTGCATATTCAACTTGTACCGATGGAAAGCCGGGTTCTCGCTGATTTAGGAACATATAAGCATTATCAACCTTCATCCGTTATTGTAATGCATTGTAAATTGATGTAAGGCCTACCAACGTTATAATATTGTGAAGCATTACTATTGCCTATTGATGTCTTACCCGCCGCACTTGGTATTGCATGGGTCTACTTTGAAATCAAGGCTTATCAGTTGTGACCTGGTCTCTTTTTGTTGGGTTGAAATACAAATTAAGTTCTTTTCGGTGAATGGAAGACTGTCAATGGAAGAAGTAGCATAAATGATTTTAATATTCTTATTAAAGGTCCAAAACTAAACCTAGAAAACTATTCTTATCATCTTTCAACACTTACAGTTTCACTGGAAAAAGAATATTTACATTTGATTTATTTTTTTCAATATTACAGAAAATCAGTGGGAACCCTGTTAAATGATCAGTTCCAGTATTATGATTGGTGGGTACCAGAATATTCTCTGTGGACAGAGTATAAGGAGACAGCTTCCTGCCTTAAAGCAATGCCTTAAACAGTGTTTGACTGACCATCTTCTTGTGTTATTTAAGCATAATACTACATTGTGTCTGGAGTTATAGTCCTATAATTCAAAAAAGGCTTGCAGACAAAGTAAATAATGGACGTTAGCTCGTTCTTAACATTTGTCTGCTATTCTGCTCAGAACTATAGCTCTTAAACTCTGAACTAAATGTTGTTTATCAATTGTTGTTTTGATTTTGACATCAAATTGAGTATCAAATTAGATATTTGATTTTCAAATTTGAGAAAGAGTTTCAATAAATGGAACAGCCAACAGCCAGTATCTGCCAGCTATGACTATGACATCATCACAGCTGACTTTGGTAGGTCAGTATACTGTAGTCCGAATTATTCTGATGTTTTATCGACTTTTTTTTATATCGGTCTGTCGTCGATTACAGACTGATATAAAAAAAAAGTCGATAAAACGTCAGAATAATTCGGACTAAGTAGACTGGCAATGCAATGCAAATGTAAATATATTAATTTAAAATGTGTGATCAGTAGAATTTGCTTTTTTAAAGGTGGGATCCCTGTGTAGTTTTCCCCCAATTATCATGATGATAAATAACAGCATGCAATCTGAGCCTTTGTCTATATTTGTGTGCACGTCCACCGCCTTGGGATGTCAAACATCACTTGGCAGTGACTTATATAGGAACAATCTATGCCAGTCTTGTTCATATATGTACGTTTCAATTGTTGTAGAATTTTTCTATGGATGTAATAAAAATTTAAAATCCTCAGCCAACTGTCTCAGTTCTAAATGCTTTTTAGCTGAAATCGCTCTAAAAAAACGGACATTCTACATGTTGACCCACTCTTAACTATTACTTCTGGTTGGGCGGCAGCGTACCCTCATTAAAGGCCTTGCTTGTTTTAACCTGTATCAATCTAGACGGTCTGCGTATTGGAGTGTTATCCCAGGTTTACACCAAAACCAGTCACTAATCAACACCAAATAATCATTGTACAATGCCGTCCAAAGTGCAATATTAGCATGGAATTAAATGAAACCAGAGACGTATACACTACAGAGTTTGACTTTATAAGTGTCTGATCAAACTAGATGAAAAATCTTTTAAGATTTCAGAAAAACGACAAAAACCCCAAACAAACAAAAACTATTTTTTTCAATTTGCAACTTTATTAAATCTTATAAAGCATAATGACCACTTTAGATGTAGCGATAATGATACAGTGCTCGACCCGTACCCCTTAGGTTTGTCAGTACTTCATATACATGTACACATTTACCGGGCCACATTTCCACATGCACATGTTCCACGTTTTTGATATCTCTCGTTGACTCACTTTATCTGACAGTGCATCTTGCGCAAGAATAGGTCCTCTACATAAGCGTTCCTTGTCCGCGATGCTCTCGGCTTAATTGCTGCCTTCGGCTGTCTTTAGCCGAGGGGACTATTGGTTTTATATAATAGCTATATTTTCAATTATAGTATATCAATTCTATCTTCTTGTAATATGATGTATATGTACATGTAACTGTTCTGTTTCACTGTGTCTTGAAAAAGGAGCGAATCGCTCCGAAAATTTGACAACCTAAACCTGTCCACACTGTTGGAATTACTTCTTTGCCCCATGTACATTGTATATATATAGTAGTCACTCTTGTTAGAACAGTATTTAAGTGTTTACCTTTCAATGTGATTTGTTCCTGTAATCTCTTACATTGTTAACATTTTGATCGAAATGTAACGGGGAAATACTCCTCGTCAAGAATACACTTAAGGGTTCACGGTTCTTGGTTATTTCATGCAGACCACACAAGATAAAAACTTATCATTTTCGTACGGCGGACAAGGCAGAGATCCACACACTGTTTTAACTCCGTAAAACAGTTTCCCGTCATTGTTAGCGTCGCCTCCCGGCACCGTCTGCGGTACCTCATCCACACACACATGTTCACTAGCTGCTTTATGTCTGGGATTTCCTGATGCCAGGCTACCGTGGTACGCCTCCACCCAGTCAGGGTAACAGTTGACCCGACCTGGAATCATAAGAACCATTGAATAGGGAGTTCCATCGCACACGGCACAGGGCGCGTCTGCGTCCTCTACACCAAACACGACAGGCGGACGCTGGTATTCGGCACCATACATATAGCCGACATTGCCATGCTCGTAGTACTTAAAAGGTCCCCATGTGGGATCTGAGGGAAGGCAGACATATTCAGCAGCAGATCCTTTCATTGAATACAGGGATCCACCCACATAACCTGCATACACCAGGGTTGAAATATCCTTTGGACAATCACTGCGACCCCACCTTGTAAATAGTACATGGTTTTCAATCTTTGTCTTAAGATCCTGTACTTGGGTCTGTAAATCATGGAGTTGCTGTTCCACGTAAGATGGATTGCTTAATGATATTCGTTCTTGAACGTAGTTGTCGCTCTCCGCATCACCCGGACATATCCTCGACACTAAAATGAATAACCCTAAAACAGGTAGCATGATGTCACTACCTTGAAACGTAAGATTAACCGAGACAGACTATAAAATGTATGTCTAGACGTGTTGAGTATGTTTTAAGCTATTCCACTCTATTTTTGTTTATCTATTGCCATGGGTAAGCCCCGTGAAAATCACGTGTTTGTGACGTGATTGGATGTTGTGAGGCAACCTTGGTAAGTCTCCAGTAAACGTCATTGTTCTAGGAGGTCTGATGATTGTTTGGTCTATAGCATGTAAATGTATATTGTTCTAGGAGGTCTGAGGATGGTTTGGTCTGTAGATAGCATGTTAATGTATATTGTTCTAGGAGGTCTGATGATGGTTTGGTCTATAGCATGGTAATGTATATTGTTCTAGGAGGTCTGATGGTGGTTTGGTCTGTAGCATGGTAATGTATATTGTTCTAGGAGGTCTGATGATGGTTTGGTCTATAGCATGGTAATGTAAATTGTTCTAGGAGGTCTGATGGTGGTCTATAGCATGTAAATGTATATTGGACTAGGAGGTCTGATGATGGTTTGGTCTAAAGCATGTAAATGTATATTGTAATAGGAGGTCTGATGATGGTTTGGTCTGTTGCATGTTAATGTATATTGTTCTAGGAGGTCTGAGGATTGTTTGGTCTGTAGATAGCATGTTAATGTATATTTTTCTAGGAGGTATGATGATGGTTTGGTCTATAGCATATATCATGTCAATGTATATTGTTCTAGGAGGTCTGATGGTGGTCTATAGCATGTAAATGTATATCGTACTAGGAGGTCTGATGATGGTTTGGTATATAGAATGTAAATGTATATTGTACTAGGAGGTTTGATGATGGTTTGGTCTATAGCATGGTAATGTATATTGTACTAGGAGGTCTGATTATGGTGTATATTATTCTAGGAGGTCTGATGATTGTTTGGTCTATAGCATGTTAATGTATATTGTACTAGGAGGTCTGATTATGGTGTATATTATTCTAGGAGGTCTGATGATTGTTTGGTCTATAGCATGTAAATGTACATTGTACTAGGAGGTCTGATGATGGTTTGGTATATAGAATGTAAATGTATATTGTACTAGGAGGCCTGATGATGGTTTGGTCTATAGCATGGTAATGTATAATGTTCTAGGAGGTCTGATGGTGGTTTGTTCTGTAGCATGGTAATGTATATTATTCCAGGAGGTCTGATGATGGTTTGGTCTAAAGCATGTAAATGTATATTGTAATAGGAGGTCTGATGATGGTTTGGTCTAGGGCATCGCATGTTAATGTATATTGTTCTAGGAAGTCTGATGATGGTTTGGTCTATAGCGTGTTAATGTATATTGTTCTAGGAGGCCTGATGATGGTTTGGTCTATAGCATGGAAATGTATATTGTTCTAGGAGGTCTGATGCTGGTTTGGTCTGTATCATGGTAATGTATATTGGTCTAGGAGGTCTGATGATGGTTTGGCCTATAGCATGTAAATGTATATTGTACTAGGAGGTCTGAAGATGGTTTGGTCTATAGCATAGCATGTTACGGTATATTGTTCTAGGAGGTCTGATGATTCTTTGGTCTATAGCATGTAAATGTATATTGGACTAGGAGGTCTGATGATGGTTTGGTCTATGGCATGCTAATGTATATTGTTCTAGGAGGTCTGAAGATGGTTTGGTCTATAGCATAGCATGTTACGGTATATTGTTCTAGGAGGTCTGATGCTGGTTTGGTCTGTAGCATGGTAATGTATATTATTCCAGGAGGTCTGATGATGGTTTGGTCTGTAGCATAGCATGTTACTGTATATTGTTCTAGGAGGTCTGATGCTGGTTTGGTCTGTATCATGGTAATGTATATTGGTCTAGGAGGTCTGATGATGGTTTGGTATATAGAATGTAAATGTATATTGTACTAGGAGGTTTGATGATGGTTTGGTCTATAGCATGGTAATGTATATTGTACTAGGAGGTCTGATTATGGTGTATATTATTCTAGGAGGTCTGATGATGGTTTGGTCTATAGCATGGTAATGTATCTTGTTCTAGGAGGTCTGATGGTGGTTTGGTCTGTAGCATGGTAATGTATATTATTCTAGGAGGTCTGATGATGGTTTGGTCTGTAGCATGTTAATGGATATTGTTCTAGGAGGTCTGATGATTGTTTGGTCTATAGCATGGTAAAGTATATTGTTCTAGGAGGTCTGATGATGGCTTGGTCTATAGCATGGTAATGTATATTGTTCTAGGGGGTCTGATGGTGGTTTGGTCTGTAGCATGGTAATGTATATTATTCCAGGAGGTCTGATGATGGTTTGGTCTGCAGCATAGCATGTTAATGTATATTGTTATAGGAGGTCTGATGATGGTTTGGTCTATAGCATAGCATGTTAATGTATATTTTTATAAGAGGTATGATGATGGTTTGGTCTATAGCATATATCATGTCAATGTATATTGTTCTAGGAGGTCTGATGATGGTTTGGTCTATATCATTTCAATGTATATTGTTCTAGGAGGTCTGATGATTGTTTGGTCTATAGCATGTAAATGTATATTGTTCTAGGAGGTCTGATGATGGTTTGGTCTAGGGCATAGCATGGTAATAGAAATTGTTCTAGGAGGACTGATGATGGTTTGGTCTATAGCATGGTAGTGTATATTGTACTAGGAGGTCTGATGATGGTTTGGTCTAGGGCATAGCATGGTAATAGATATTGTTCTAGGAGGTCTGATGATGGTTTGGTCTGTAGCATGTTAATGTATATTAGTCTAGGAGGTCTGATGATGGTTTGGTCTATAGCATGGTAATGGATCTTGTTCTAGGAGGTCTGATGGTGGTCTATAGCATGTAAATGTATATTGTTCTAGGAGGTCTGATGATGGTTTGGTATATGGCATAGCGAGGTCTGATGATGGTTTGGTCTATAGCATGTAAATGTATATTGTACTAGGAGGTCTGATGATGTTTTGGTCTAGGGCATAGCATGGTAATAGATATTGTTCTAGGAAGTCTGATGATGGTTTGGTCTATAGCATGGTAAAGTATATTGTTCTAGGAGGTCTGATGATGGTTTGTCTGATGATGGTTTGGTCTGTAGCATAGCATGTTACTGTATATTGTTCTAGGAGGTCTGATGATGGTTTGGTCTATAACATGGTAATGTATATTGTTCTAGGAGGTCTGATGAGGGTTTGGTCTATAGCATAGCATGTTAATGTATATTTTTATAAGAGGTATGATGATGGTTTGGTCTATAGCATATATCATGTCAATGAATATTGTTCTAGGAGGACTGATGATGGTTTGGTCTATAGCATGGTAGTGTATATTGTACTAGGAGGTCTGATGATGGTTTGGTCTAGGGCACAGCATGGTAATAGATATTGTTCTAGGAGGTCTGATGATGGTTTGGTCTATAACATGGTAATGTATATTGTTCTAGGAGGTCTGATGATGGTTTAGTTTATAGCATGTTAAAGCATATTGTTCTAGGAGGTCTGATGATGGTTTGGTCTAGGGCATAGCATGGTAATAGAAATTGTTCTAGGAGGACTGATGATGGTTTGGTCTATAGCATGGTAGTGTATATTGTACTAGGAGGTCTGATGATGGTTTGGTCTAGGGCATAGCATGGTAATAGATCTTGTTCTAGGCGGTCTGATGATGGTTTGGTCTGTAGCATGTTAATGTATATTAGTCTAGGAGGTCTGATGATGGTTTGGTCTATAACATGGTAATGTATATTGTTCTAGGAGGTCTGATGATGGCTTGGTCTGTAGCATGTTAATGTATATTGTTCTAGGAGGTCTGATGATCGTTTGGTCTATAGCATGGTAAAGTATATTGTCCTAGGAGGTCTGATGATGGTTTGGTCGATAGCATGGTAATGTATATTGTTCTAGGAGGGTATATTGTTCTAGGAGGTCTGATGATGGTTTGGTCTATATCATTTCAATGTATATTGTTCTAGGAGGTCTGATGATGGTTTGGTATATGGCAAGGAGGTCTGATGATTGTTTGGTCTATAGCATGTTAATGTATATTGTACTAGGAGGTCTGATTATGGTTTGGTCTATAGCAGATGGTTTGGTCTATATCATTTCAATGTGATGATGGTTTGGTATATGGCAAGGAGGTCTGATGATTGTTTGGTCTATAGCATGGTAAAGTATATTGTTCTAGGAGGTCTTAAGATGGTTTTGTCTATAGCATGGTAATGTATATTGTTCTAGGAGGTCTGATGATGGTTTAGTTTATAGCATGTTAAAGCATATTGTTCTAGGAGGTCTGATGATGGTTTGGTCTATAGCATAGCATGTTAATGTATATTTTTATAACAGGTCTGATGGTGGTTTGGTCTATAGCATAGCATTTCAATGTATATTGTTCTAGGAGGTCTGATGATAGTTTGGTCTATAGCATAGCATGTTAATGTATATATTTCTAGGAGGTCTGATGATGGTTTGGTCTATAGCATGGTAATGTATATTGTTCTAGGAGGTCTGATGATGGTTTGGTCTATAGCGTGGTAATGTATATTGTTCTAGGAGGTCTGCTGATGGTTTAGTTTATAGCATGTTAAAGCATATTGTTCTAGGAGGTCTGATGATGGTTTGGTCTATAGCAAAGCATGTTAATGTATATTGTTCTAGGAGGTCTGATGATAGTTTGGTCTATAGCATAGCATGTTAATGTATATATTTCTAGGAGGTCTGATGATGGTTTGGTATAAAGCATGGTAATGTATATTTTGTTCTAGGAGGTCTGGTGCTGGTTTGGTCTGTGTCATGGTAATGTATATTGTTCTAGGAGGTCTGATGATGGTTTGGTCTATAGCATAGCATTTCAATGTATATTGTTCTAGGAGGTCTGAAGATGGTTTGGTCTATAGCATGTAAATGTATATTGTTCTAGGAGGTCTGATGATGGTTTGGTATATGGCATAGCATGTTAATGTTTATTGTTCAAGGAGGTCTGATGATGGTTTGGTCTATAGCATGTTAATGTATATTGTACTAGGAGGTCTGATGATGGTTTGGTCTATAGCTTGGTAATGTATATTGTTCTAGGAGGTC